AGGTATGGGGTCTCGCTCCCCTCGGGCCCGGTGCCACCTGTGCAGCATCCCCACATGGCCCGGGGTGAGGGCCGCGCGGTGCCAAATTCCCACGAAACGGACCCAAGTCACAAAGGTCGGAGAATGCGGCCTAACGCGCGCCCCCGACCCACCTTTGCCCGAAGTGAGTGAGGCTGTTCATCCCGACCCTGGGCCGCTGGACGGGCTCGGGTGTCTGGACAGGCCGGGAGGGGGGGCCCCATGGAGACCCCACTCTGCGAATTACCCGCTCAGGCTTTCGCAGCAGATGACGGGGCACAGAATGGAGGCTTCGGTGACGTCGCTTAGCCAGCGGTTCTCAACCTGTGGGTCGCGACCCCTGTGGGGATCGAACGACCCTTTCACAGGGGTCGCCTAAGACCATCGGAAAACACATATATAATTAGATATTGTTTTTGTGATTAATAAGTATGCTTTAATTATGTTCAATGTGTAACAATGAAATTGGGGGTCACCACAACATGAGGAACTGTATTAAAGGGTCGCGGCATTAGGAAGGTTGAGAACCACTGGACCTTAGGCGGGGCGACCCCTCCCCTTGGATGTGTGCAGCCTCCGCGGCTGTGTGCTCGCCCCTAACTGAAGGGCTGCCCGTCGCAGGACTGAGCTGACCTGCAGGAGGGTCGGCAGCCAGGAAGCAGCAGGGTGACAGGTGTCTGTGTCTGGCATTCGTGCCTCCGGTCACCCTGGTAGGATGCGTTACTTAAAAGTCCAGCAGAAAATCCTCGCCTTCTCATTGAGTCTCTGACATTTCAACTAGCATTTTTCGTTCCTATAAAACCCAGAATACGGTCACTAACATCTTCATACATTTGTGTGTGTGTGTGTGTGTGTGTGTGTGTGTGTGTGTGTGTGTGTGTAATTGCGATTTTACCCATTTTGTATTACTTCCTTGGAAAAACAATCCTTTTGTTGGAAATGAGAACTTGATGTATGTTTTGGGGTGTGTGTGCGTTTTTTTCTAGGCTTTTTTTTTTTTCCTGTACATGAGTCTTTCTCTTTGAGGAGGAAGTTTGACTTTTGAAATAGAACTCATGATTAAAGTGAGTTCCTGATTCAACATTAAGCAAGCAGATCATTGACATGCTCACGAATTCAAAAAATGTTTACTGTCGACGTACAGTGTGCCAAGCAGGGAACAAAAAAGGCAATTCTTCCCTCATGAGGTTTTCAGTCTAGAAGAGAAGTAGACAATAAGCATCATCAGTAAGAAAACTGATATAGGATGCTAGACCACAATAAATGTCATGTAGTAAATGCAGAGGAAGGGGATCAAGAGCGGGGAGAGGCACAGTGATAAAAAGATGGGCAGCGTGAGCATTGTTGCGAAAGTGATGTTTAAGCAGAGATTTGAAGGGGGTGAGGGAGGTGGCCTTGGGGATGCCCCGGGAGGAGGATTCCAGGCAGAGGAAGCAGCTGGAGCGAAGACTTACCTGTGAGAATGTGCCTGGCGTGTCCTGCTAATGCAGTACGTCAGCGTGAGCGGAGCAGAAGGAAGAAGGGGAAGAAGTAGACAAGCCCGAGAGGGAAGGCGGGTAGGGCAGATCATATGGGCCATAGGAGCCATTGGAAAAGCCCTGACTTCACTCTGGGTAATGTGTAAATAGGTCGAATTCTGTTGGACCTAGAGAACTCCTGTCTTTTAGTATATAAATAGCTATTTGGATTAAAGATCGTTCACCTTAAATACTGCTGAGGGCATTTCAAACATTTTTTTTTTCCTATGAGAGGATGTTAATTGGTGGCAAAATCAGATTCCTTATGCAGAAACCCTATTTTGTCATAATATTCTTAGGCACAATTTTCGTATAATTTTGCATTTAACTTTCAAAGGCCTTTTATATGCTGTTTATTCTATTTTCAGACAAATTAAGAATTTATTCTACTTGCCTAAAATTATACCATTTTGTGCATTATTTCTTCTTACAATACATCCCTTTTCTGTTTGTTTTTTAACCTAACCGCTTCTTCAATACTAGAAATGCACAGAAAGCCAAGGCAAGGCGTGTGGCCATAGGAAACCCTGCCGTGGTTGGAGGTATACTGACATATTAATATAAAATGGTATTTAAATGGACAGATGAATGACTGTGTCCACGGGAAGGGTGGTTCAAGTACTACCTTCACAGCAAGCATCAAGTATAAGGTTTGGGTGACCTGCTTACTATGCAAGAGTCAGCATCGGCAATCAAATTGTTTATCAGAATAGCTGAAGTGCTTGGCCTGCTGTGGACCTTCTCCAATCTCCTACCTAACATTCCTAGGTTCCTGAGCTGGAGCTTGACTTAAAATCATTGCAATCTACCTACCCCACCCTAAATGAAATCTATCGCACATAATAACATCACATTAACCAGAACAGGTATGACTTGATTTATAAAACTGAATATTAAAAAAATGCATTCTAGCCCTAACCGGTTTGGCTCAGTGGATAGAGCATCGGCATGCGGACTCAAGGGTCCCAGGTTCGATTCCGGTCAAGGGTATATACCTTGGTTGCAGGCACATCCCCAGTGGGGAGTGTGCAGGAGGCGGCTGATCAATGTTTCTCTCTCATCGATGTTTCTAACTCTCTATCCCTCTCCCTTCCTCTCTGTAAAAAATCAATAAAATATACTTAAAAAATGCATTCTAGATTAAGAAACATACTTCTAAATATAAGCATTTACCAGAGTAATTGCCAATCAGTACTTTTGTTCAAAGAAAAAGGCTTGGTATATTTAAAATGTACTCTTGCGTTTCAAAGCTTAGATTTTTGTCCATCTTTTCAGGAGAATAAAAGATGTAAAAAATGGGAAAATCAGAGGTCATGCAAAATTATCACACAATTCTTTCTCTCCAGTAGCTTTATCACACTAAGAAAGAGTACTTGTTTTCGGCTTTACTTTTCCATAGAAAAATTTGTTAAATCATTACCTTCAGCTCAAGGTATTCCATTACACACCTACTAATTTAGTGCTCACATTTAATCTAATTGTCCTCCCCATATAATGGCAAAATAAAATAGCTTAATTATCCGTAACTTTTTAAGATATATATGATTTCAAATGTCCTTTGATTTACACGCCCCCCCCTGCCCCAAATCTTCATTTTCAATATATATTTATTGATTTCAGAGAGGAAGGGAGAGAGACATCAATGATGAGAGAGAATCATTGATTTGGTTGCCTTCTGCACACCTTCTACTGAGGAGTGAGCAGGCAACCCACTCATGTACCCTTGACCCGAATTGAACCCAGGACCCTTCAGTCCGCAGGCTGACACTCTATCCACTGAGCCAAACTGTCTAGAGCTTAACTTATCTTTCTGTTTCTTTGTGAAACATTTTTGATGTCGGATTGAGTCTCTGATACCTGAGCCAAGTTTGAGTTTGAAGAGCCATTTATCATCCTCTTTCCACTTTCTTTGATAAGACATATGTTTCTGACCTGATTTATCCAGTCAACTCAAATCCAATCATCTCTAAATCTTTTTGTTGATGACTTTATATTCCTGCATACTTTCATTTTTGCATAAACCATTACAGTTACCTATTTAATGCTCCAACAAGTTGTTTCTCATAACTTTGTGGTAAATTCATGTATCCTCTCAATAAATGTTGAGCACTTACTCTATATGCTGGGTAAACTAGTGAACAAATGACCCCTGCCCTCCTGGCAAACAGGCTTATGGAAGAGGAAAATGAAGATTTGGGGTGGGGGTGGGGGGTGTAAATCAAAGGACATCTGAAAAACTCTCTTTTTTACAAAATATATTTTTATTGATTTCAGAGAGGAGGGGAGAGGGAGAGAGAAAGAAATATCAATGATGTGAGAGAATCATGCTCCACACTGGGGATCGAGCCCTTGACTTGGGCACATGCCCTGACCAGGAATCGAACCCTGACCTCCTGGTTCATAGGTTGACACTCAATCACTGAGCCACACTGGCTGGGCTCGAGAACTTTCAATACATTTAGTTTATTATTCCTTACTCTAACCTCTAGTTTAATGTTGTGGATGCTTCACCAACCTCAGTTCCACTCCTCCATTATGCAGCAGCCATAGGATTAGGATGATCCATATCCTTATCTTTAGTCTTACCTCTGTAGGTGGGCCTTGCCTGGCCTGACCTTTAAGGTTCTCCTAGCCCTGTTGCCCCGGTACTTAACTTCAACCTTAGCCACTGGGACTCTTGAATCCAACAGGCCATGGTGTGGAACTCAGGGCTTTTGTCCTGTGATTGAGGCTCTTGTCCTTTCTCTTCTAACAGGAATGAAAGCTGGTAGTTCCCATTGCTGCTGGCATTCATGTTGTTAACCTGTAGGGCGGCCCCTGAGGATGAATAGATACTGTGGGCAGCACAGAAGAGAGATGGGAAGAAACTGGGTCATTAAGACATTGTTAAGCTGCTAGCTCACCCATTCACGGAGCCTGTCCAACAGCTGGACTCTGCATGAACGTGGGCCATCATTCTTCTTTATCATTTGATCCAGGTCAAGTTGGTTTGATTGCAGGTGGCATTATTGTATCTGAGAGTATCCTCACAGATGTGCTCACTAGAATAGGTATTTCTACCTTCTCAAAAGCAGAGGAGGATTTATTGTAAAGCTCTACCACTTCAGTTTCAGGATCTCCCTTGCTCTTGCCTCTTCCTAGCCTTCTACCTAATTTTGCACTTGTAATTTTTTTTTGTTAAAGAAGACCATTCAAATTGTATAAGCTTCAGGCCTCACAAAACCTGGATCTACTGTCAGATGTTTGGGGGAGAAAACGTCCACCTTTCTCTCCAGTTCCCTCAATTCTTGTCTCCCTAGGGAGGAGTGACTTACCTACATGGTAAGTGGTGAGAAGGGTCACTGTGGCCGGCCTCTCTGGCTCCGTCATTGAGACCTGCCCGCCCACAGTGGTAAGCTCAGTACAGCAGCCCTGGGTGACCAGCGCGGCAGGGGAAGTAGCTGCCACCTTTGACCACATCTTCCAAAATTGGCACCTCTCCAACGAACTTGTAAAACACCATGGTAACGTCATGGCTGCAAAGACTAAAGAGACCGTCGCAGAGGGCTGGCACTGGGAGATTGGAGAGAAGTTAGACAAAGAACGGAGCCCCTGTAAGGTCTTGCATCTGCTGCTCCCCAGCCCAGCC